GCATCACCTACCGTCCCAATACCATCACTAGACTGTCAATTTCTATGCAAAATGACATTTTATGAAGTAATTAAGAGAGGAGCAAGTGCAGGAATTTCTTCTCTCAAGTATCTTATTGGTTTCAGAATGAACCAGTAAACCCATTCTATCTGATATAAATTTCGTCTTCTATCCAATAATTTTATGCGGATTTTTTTTCGTCAGTCTAACCATCACCAGTACGAAAAATGTCTTTCACTAAGAGAAACAACGCAGCTCCGCGCGCCCAGTACACTTAATTTTCCATCCATCTCGTCGCACAACTCATCCGACAGCGTCGTCCGTTCAGCAAACGTTCGCATTTCCTTCTTCCATTTCACGCGAATGTCGCGAAGAAAAACGGAAGGATAATTCCGCGTGGGTTGAGAAGGAGCAACGGGAAGCAAAAATAGGGATGAGGGGGTTGGAAGGGTTGGTTAGTCGGGTGGAAGTAGTCTCGTGTAGGACGAAGCAGGAGGAGGGGGGGGTGGGGATCTTCCAAGTAGTATGCTGGTCGTACTTTGATCAGGCGCAGTGGATTTACGCTCATCCTCGGCAATCTGGCGTGCGCATCTCTCTCCTTCTTTCCCGCCGTTTCGGTTCCCACAAGTATTCGCTGTCTTTGTCCCGCGCCTGTCGGGCCACGGGCGGTGTTGCAACAGCCGTCCTGGCCTAGCGACGTCTTTGAAGGCACGACTCGTCGCGTCGTCGTAGGCATTTCAACAAGCCCGAAACGCTGGCGGAAGTGCCGTGGCAATGCCATTACCGGTAGAAAGAGAGAAGATATCCACGTGGGGCTCTTTGGGGAAAGGTGGAACCAGTGGTTAGAAGTTGCTTTTTGATTTTCTTTTCTGGCTCTCCCTATCTGCGGATCGCTTCTGTTCGGCCGTGTTACGAGAGATTGGAATAATTAGCCGGTGTGAATCGGTGATATTCTTCTAATGGACCCTTCGTTCTTTGGGTATACTTAACATTTTATGAGTATTGGGATTATTTATAAGAAGAAAATGTGATGTTTCGTAGAAATTATTCGGGGTTATTGAAGGTTCTCTTCCAATTGTGGTGGTACAAAAATTTGTTTAGTATATGCAATTTGAATGGTACCAGGGAACCGATATTCTGCAAGAATCCTTTTCTTTTGGGATGATTTTTTTCGGAGTTTTTAAAGTCAATGATGTTTTTTCGTACGTAATTTGTTTGTTTTTTTATTGCAACGTATGATTAATGTTAAAATACGTTTAAATGTGTATAATGGCGTGACTTTGAATTGATGATGAACATATTCGTTCCTTGATACGTTCAAATTGCATATAAATTATTTATAATAGTGTAAATATTAGATGTACCAACAAGTGATCCACTATGTTTTGAATTTTAAAACGATATAGGATAGCATATCGAAAATGTCGTTTTTACTTTACGCTGAAAACAAATAGAGTCTATGCTGCTGGAAAATCGTTAGGAACATAAATAAAATACTATATGTAGATCCTTGCCCTCGCATAGAAGCGATACAGATTTCGTAAAGAAATATTGGATTACTAATTAAATTCTATTATACACCTAATAGAATTCTATTCTATTCTATTCTCAACGTAATAAAATTTAACTGACACGTCTGTCTATTACTTACCGTTTCTACTTATTGGAAAACACGGATAAATGAGGAGTATCAAATGAATCTTCAAAATCAGTTCACTCGAAAACGCGAAGGTTTCATTGAAATTGATTGATAGTCTCGAATTTATAATTATATATGGAATTATTATTATATGGAACAAATTAAATATGGTGCATACAGAAGAATAAAATCAATTCTTAGGATCGCAATTCTTCGCGATAAGCGTTCCAGCTTGATCGAGAAGCCTCAGAGAAATGAGAGTTAAACATTAGAAAAAGAAATGTTTTACCAATCCCTGTTCTGTTTGTTCGTGGCTCGCTTAAAAATTCTGACCGAGTGTTTGAGTTATCGGGCTGCGCTGACGGAACGAGAAATAAGAACGAAAGACGGATTGCTTCGCTTTGAAGGCGCGGGATATAGAGGGGGCTAGTTGGAATTTATGACGACGAATGCGAGTGGGTGCGTTTGAAGGGGATAGAGGAGAATGGTGAAGGATTTGGGAAATCGCGAAGTGCGACGATCAGTTCGGTGAGTTTGCAAACGTGACTTATGTATTCTTTCAATATACATTTTCACTTCCTTTCATCGTTTTTGGTTTATTTTTGGGGGAGCTGGTTACATTCACCCAAAATAATAACAAAGTTGGTTTGTAGAAAATTTAAATTTGTTATTTCTACATTGTGGATTTTATGCATTTATAGCCTAGAAAGCTCTGTGAAGTACAGTAGAAGAAAATACAGTAGTTTTCTATTTTATAGTACCCAATGAGATATCTCAGCAAAGAGATTCCTACTTCTATTTCTACTTTTATCAATTACATTAATAAAATGTCTTGCATCGAAGTCCAGAGTAGTTATTTCATATCAATTGTGGGACATTTCTCATTTGAGGATTAACAGTATGTTTTCACATGAATTTTTGTTTTATATCAATTCTTTCTAGAATGGAGTACTTAGACAATATTATTAATGATTTAACCAAAGAGAACGATACCAACGAGACAGAATTTTTATACAGATGAAAGGCTTGGAATAATAATGAAAGCTAAGTGACACAAATTTTAATTATAGTGTATAATAATATTTTGACAGAACGAATAAAACTCGTGTAACGTGTATACCAACAATACCCTTCCGAGATTGTTGTTGACTTTTTGGATTACATCGTATAAACGAGTTTAAATGCCCAATAAATGCCCAATAACTTTATTCACGTTTCTTAACATTGTTATCTTAAGATTCTTCAATATTCTCCCCGGGCAAAGAAATTCGCCAAGAAGAAAATCGAGAGCATTAAACCCTTCATTTTACGAGAAAAAAACATGGCTCGCAGTATGCGAAGAAGAATGCTTATTGATCCGATACTCGCTGTATAAATACAAGACAGAAGGAAACGTCTTCGTTTTCTCGAAACAAAGTTCTTAATAAAGGATCGCGGTATGTCGAAGAAAAAAGTAACGCTGGATGGAACGTCTTCAAGAATTTCCATCGTTATCGATTGAATAACAGTATCGCGAACGAATATACAGGCAAACTCATGAACTGTCACATATCTTCCTCCAAACGTAGTGTCGTATAGAGAACACAGTTGGTCACAATTCTATTCGAATAATACCCAGTGAAAAGCAACGGTACCTAAAAATGTCATCCTGACATTTAACTTTCATTAAAACAAAGTGGAGAAAAGTCACAGGGGTTCTCAGTATAAAATAACTGAAATTAATAATTCTAAAATGTTTTGCTTCTTTTGATTCTGTTTATTTGTTTACTAAAGTAGTAACATTAAATTTTTAATTATTTATTATATAATTATTTGTACCTATATATTACTATATGGTTCGTTATGAAATACTGAAAGAGCTTCAGGGGCTCTTCTATCCGGATGAAGGTTCAATAGTTAATGAGATTAAATAATTGTTTGCCAAGTTTAGCCCACTCATTCAAGAAAAAGTTGTATTTTATTATACAAATTGGAATTTCCACGTCTAATCGAGTAAATATTCCAAAGTACTTTTTCTTCTATTCGTTATTCGAAACTCTTTAGACAAATAATGAACTTCCACATGATGGGTTTATGATTCGTATACCAGGAACATTAATACAAATTCGAGACACACGAAAATCATCGTGATGAATGAGCCTTTAGCAATTAGGAAATCGTTATGCAATCCTTGAAGTATGCAGGCCACGTGTGCATCTGTACATCCGGATGTCCACAATAGAAATTACCTATTTTTTCCCCACATCCCACAGTCCAGAATCTTCCAAAGATTTTTGGATGTATTGCACCCCACTTCCCTTGGCCGTAACACTAATCGTCACAGTACAGAAACCATAAATGTTTCCTCGACTTGTTACATCTGCGAACAAAGACACTCGAAAAACATTAGAATTATAATAACTCAAAAACTTTAGAATAATTAACCCTATATAGGAGATGATTTCTAAAGATAAAGAAGTCTATTATATATCCTAAAAATTTCATCAACCTTTTATGTCCTGAGGATACTTTGCAATACCATTTATGTTACAATAAAATGCTGCCATTAACCAATGTGCTTAGAACCGGGCTAGGAGTTTTTAAGTAAAAGTATTTACTACTTTCTGGAAGTCCTCCGAGATGCTATAAAATAATGCTAGCACTCAGTGATATAGTATTTAGTTATTTGAATAAAAAGTACAAAAATGAAAAAAAAAATCATACTTCAACAGGTTTCAAGTATGTAAAAAAATAACAATAACATAACTTCAAGCCTTCAAGTGTTGAAATCAGCGATCTAAGGTTAGATCCTCTCCTCGTAAATCCACTATCGGAACCTCATCTCCGCAAACGGAAAATAAAACCCCGAGAATGTTACTTTTCATTAACTTTTGTGTACTCCCTTGTACGTGAAAATTGAAATTCCACGAAATTAAACCTCTCCTTCCCCAATCGAGAAACGGTTCGCGCAAGCGTGTGCACGACACCTACCGTCCGTCAGCCCCAAGAATTAGCCGGGATGATCTACAGCAACGCCATTGAGCCAGCCCCCTTTTGAAATCTGTCGACGATTAATTCATTCGAAAGCGGCAACACGCACGAAACGAACCGGCGGGGGAGCCACAATTTCGGGAAGACGATCCATGGGGCATTATATATTGTCGGGGCACAAAGCGTGCCCCCCATTTCGCACCCTCGAAACCCTCTTTTTTCCGTTCTTCCGCCCCTCCAAAGTCCCTTCAGCACGATAACTGGAATTCGTTCGTGCGAAGACGAAATTTGTCGACGTAATTACGGGGCAGTGGAAAATACGAGCAACGGCGTGTACGGACGACGCGATTACACGTGGAAATAATTCCGGCCGTCTGATATTCTGTTCCAGATACAAGTGTACGGCTTCAACGCGGAATTGTATCACAACATGAGCGAGGCGCAGCACAAGAGTCAGGGCCTGGTCGCGATCTCGTTAATGGTCCAGGTAAGCCGACGAAATTGCTTTCCACCTGTGAAGTATTTTCCTGTGAAGGGGGGGGGGTGGGTATTTTCGAGCCCTTTGAGTTGTTACGATTGTACGTTCCCAGCTCGAACGCCCGTGGCTCCGCCGTAATACTTTGGTACGGCGGGAAATTGGCGGAGCCGAGGAAGGATAGTGAAAAGTTTATTTTCGGGGAACATTTTGGTGTTATTGAATGATACACAGTTCTGTGGTTTGGTATTAGGACAGTTAGATAAATTGCTGTGAAATTGTTGGAAGTGCTCAGAAACTTTATTGTTTAGAACATTTAGGAGTATTATTAAAAGTTATGACTTTCTTCGGACAATTTCTGGCTACATGTATTTGCCCGAATGGAAGGTTAAGCAAATTTGACTCCTCGTTTGACGTGTTAACCCTTTGCACTCCGATGTCGCCGCTGCGGTAATAAATCTATGTAGAAGCAACTTTGTATTTTTATATAATTATATATTCACTTTGCCATGGGGGCCTCTACTGTTACATTGCATGTATAATTATGTGTTAAAATTAAATAGTCCTGGGGTAGCTGGTTGCTCATAGTAAAAATGACGCGGAGTTTCTGGTAGGTTATATTAAAAATTGCTCAGAGTGCAAAGGGTTATTTGGAGGGGAGTTAGATTTTGTCTCAGAGGTCCAGATATGGATCTGGATTATTTTGGATTACTAATTTATTTAAAAAAAAATCCAGTGTTATTGATGCGTATTTAAGAAAAAACATTTTATTTTCTACTGTTCACCCAGACATCTAAAGAAAATACCTCGAAATTTCTACGCAGAGAGTCTTCAATCGACTACCGGAATTCGCCTCCTTAATGCTTATCTTTTTCCACCTACTTTTTGCACTCCTTTTCTTTGACAGTCGCGCGTTTTAACGGTTTCCCATCGCTAAAGACCGTGACAAGGAGAGGGGAACCGGAAGACGCCGGACGGAACGCTACGTTCGGGAACTTGCGAAATTTATTCCGAAAGTAAACACCGTGCACCGTCGCAAAACCTATTGCATGTTTTATGAAGGCGAAATCTCTGTCCCGTGACGAGGACGCTTTTTCGCGCGCGGTTTTTCCTCGCGTCTCGTTTGTCTCGCGTCGTTAATTTCGCGGTTCCCGAGCTGCGGATTTTGGTTAATGATTTGGAAACGATCGCGTCGAGACGCTTCTTCGACGAAAATACTTTCAGCCTACAAAAGTACAGTTTCTTATTATTATGGCTGGGGAATTGTTATACGAGAAACTACGCTAGTTCTTTTTTAATTATAATTATTATTTGAAAATTAACATTCTTTAGTATTGAGAGATAATAATGTGTTATACTCTTCAAAGATGGATTTATTAAGAGGAGATAAAATAATTTTTTTTACTTTCCAGTTGTATTTATTTAAAGTATACTTGTAAATATTAACGATAATGAATTAGTGAGTCACGTTTTATTTTTTGTTGGGGAAGATTCTAGTGAATATTTATTCAAAATAATGTTCATTGTATCCTTTACTATTTAATTTTGTTAATTCTTTGCGCATTCTCAAGATATCGAATAAAAGTTGTCAAGAATCAATTTACTATGTCGAACTGACACCTGAAAATAGAATGGTGAAGGATGCAAAGAATAAGATAGTAATGGCTTTAAGTGAATCCTATATTTAAATATGCCAATGGATAATTCCCTGATTCACTATTCGTTGTCAAACAATCACATTCCAATGACTAATAATATTCTTTCTCGTTTTCTAACGTCTTACGTTATTTATACTAATCACATGAACAGAAATACATACTAAATTTTACGGACTATCACAAACTCATTAACCCTCTATTAGTCCTTTCCTATTCTCCTGTTTTCTGTACTTTCATCAATTTAACTTAAATCTATCTCATTCATTAGGAAAACATCTGACTAAAATAAATCATTAACAAAATTGTCAAGAATCTCGTATATTTGTGTACAGACGAATCTAAAATTCAGGAGTCTCATAGACTCACCTTGTACACTGCATCCCAAAAATGGTCCCTCGATACTAAAGGGTTAACACACCAGTCACTTCCCCCTATACTCTCAACAACAACCTAAATTCCCCAACTATACCCTTAACAACAACCTAAATTCCCCACATATACCCTCAACAACAACCTAAATTCCCCAACTATACCTTCAACAACATAAAAAATTCTCCAACTTCACCATATCATCATAATTTCAAAACAAAAATCATCCGACAAAAACAAAAATAACCCTGTCAATAGTGTGCCCAATTCGACTAACAATCGATTACCCAGCCGCGAACGAGTCGTCGAGACAACGAGACAAACTCCCAGCGTCGAACCGAATTAATTAACGGGACTCCGTGGCTGGAATAAATTAACAAACGAACCCCCCCCCCCCGCGTGGCCTCGGTAAACTATCCAACGAAACCAGGACCGTCGAGGGAGGCGTGGCGTTGCGATAAATTAACGAATGCGCGACTAGAACCGCGTAAAAGCGCGAACAAAGAAACCGCCCCACCTCTGGATGATCCCCAAGCGGACTCCTGTTCTGAGAAGACCCCTTAACAGGTGCTCGATCTCTCCTGGCGCACGGAACACGAGGAGATGCTAGAGGACTCGCGAAAGTGTATCGGGGTGGAGGGTCCACGTTGACGGGTGTAATTCAAACGGATTATACCCCGGGGAATGTCTGAGGGATGAGATCCAAATGAGTTGGTAGCTGTGCTCGCTGTCACCGCCTCGAACAATCTAGGACCTAAATGAGCTCCCCGGTTATTTTCACTCGACCGCCGGATAGTCTTCGTTGGAGGGGAGAAAGGCCTCGTAATAGTTGTTATTTGCGACCTGGCTCCTTTAGGGCGGATTTTAACGATTCGTTTGGTACCAGTTGATGGCTATGCTCCGGTCCGAGTTGTCGCGAATAAATACACTCCTGCTCCGTAAGTCACTGGACAATTGGTTGTTTTGAAAGAAATTAAAATTGAAAGAGGCATGTACTTTTCTGATGTAGGTTTACTAACTTGTTGTATATTTAGGGAAGACTGTGAAATTGAACGTACTTTGAACACTTTTCAAAATTGCTTTGAAGAAATTATAAAGTAATTATCAACTGTAAATTTTGCAACATTAATACCGTACCTTATTACTACATTGTATTGCTATACTATTGTGCTATAGTATTAGTGTAATATGGCATTGCTACATTGGTACGTTGCTATATTTCGACATTGCTACATTCCTGTATTACTCCATAGCTACATTGCTACATTGCTACTTTGATGCAAAGCTACAATGCTACGTTGCTGCATAGCTAGATTTTTATATAGCTGCATAGCTGCATTACTACATTGCTATGTTATTACATTACTACATTACTACATTACCACATTACCGTTCGTATGACTATAAAGTTACAGTACTTCCAAATGCTAATAAATTCTTCCCTGACTGTTCTTGGAAATCATGAGTTATTTCTGGAATGAGGCTATAAAAGTTAAACATGAAACATATTCTTATAGTATTGGCAGTCTGTTTGGAACTGGTTAAAAAACCGTGTCAGAATATTTTGAATTTCATAATATCCATTATGAAAAGTGGATGTTTCTCATTATTCTTTCAATGGTTCAACAAATGTTTATTAATCGCAGCAATATAGCGTATAGTTCAGATAAGAAGAATCATGAAAACTGCATGTAAATAACGAAGGTACTCAGGAAAGTAAATTGAATATTTCAAGGAATAGCTGTCCTAACGTTGCAAAATGAATTAAGGCCTGCAGCTTATTTCGAGCAAATTTTCTACATATTTACTGTAACATTTACTCCCGGAATTAGTCAGTTACGCAGCAGGCACTCTGTTGCAAGTATATTGTTGGTTCATAAGATTAAGTTTGAATTAACTTCCAAGAGGGAGCGTTTTCATAAGTCCTGTTAGCGGAGGATAGCAGAGGCGCATAGTTTCCTATAGTTCTTGATCAAATTGTGTCTAACAAGAAGTTCGGAATAAATTAAATTACGATGGCGTGGGCATAAAATTGCAATGCATGTATCGATCCGGAATTTTTAACGTAAATTGAAAATTTGGTTATTGGTTAAAAAGTTCACGTGTTTGAAATATAATAATGCGAGGCGCGTTTACTTTGTCTGCCGTGAAACAATTCCAGTATACTCCCTGATATTTACATCCGTTTCACTTCTTTAATGTTCAACCGCCTGTCAGATACGATATTACACAAAGTCCTATTTATTTTTGATAAAATAACTTCGAGACAAGCTTCGCAACGTCATTCCCTCATTTTTTTCTTCTTTGAATTTTGATTCGTCACGGTTTTTAAAATTCCAATAAAACAGAAATCAATGGAATCGTATTCAACAAATATCGAAAGGACATGCAACTGTGTTTCATTTTTAGCTGTGTGTATTCACACAATAGCACCACAATAAAAAAAAGGAAAAATACCTAACATAACGAGAATCACGTAGAAAAATTTAATTTCTGAAATGCGGAAACCAATTTTACAGCTGAGTCAGATTTGATGTCCCGAATGTGGATATAAATTTTAGAATTGCATCATATGTCATTAATATCAGTCACTTATATTAAATTATAGTGCAGATCCTAAAACTCAAATAGGCGTTTAAACCATTTCTATGGCATCTAATATTCAAAGAATCCTTCATTGTCAAATTGCATTCAAGAACACATCTGAAACTCCGATCTCCGACGAGTTAAGTACCAAAAAGTCCATAAGATAACCCTCCAGTTCATGAGCATCAAACAACAATGCTACCCCCGTAAAGAAGGGTTCAGAGTTTCTCGAACAAGGCTCTTAACTCAAAACACAGGAGAACAGGAGGGGAGAGGGATGGAGGGTGAAACGAATAAAGGGATGATGGCGAAGACGGGGATGAAGAAGAGACGGAGTCGAACGTGGTTTAAGAAGGGTGCGTACGATCAGCTACAAGCCCGTTCCATCACGGAAACGAGGAAACTCTTGATCCACCGCGATAGCCAGATGAGCTTTTATTATTTATCGTTACTTTAGAGTTGCCGGCCGGTTTAGCCTGGGCTTTTACGGTTACCTTTAATGGCGGCCAGTGTTAGAAGTTTCGAAACGACTCTTCGCCTTCACCTCTTTATGCGGTGCACTTAGCAACGACGAACAACCCCCCTTTTCATGGGAAATCGATGGAAAACGTATTACTGGGTATAGAATGAAGATAGGGGGAAGGGGGGGGGGGATGCCACACTGGGTCTTTACTCGCGGACCCCGGCTACTGTGTCTCAGTGCTCAAAGAAGTCTGTTCCGTTTGTTCCAGCTGGGACAGACGCTGAACCCCGAGCTGCAGATCATAACCAGCGTGCTGAATCAAGTTATTTATCGTGGTGAGTTACAGATAACGATTCATGTGGTTTGTAGAAGCACTTTGGAAAAGCTTGTTGCGGTAAAGTAAATTGCATGTTCACGAATTCAAAGGAAATCTAAGAAAATGGATATCTTGTATTACGTGATTTTTCTGTGCTTTTGTAAATTATTGTAAGTAGACTTTGCGTGTTTATGTAGGTTTATATTTGGTGTTTTGTAGTTTTGCTTCAGATATCGGTTCGTCAATTTTGACGTGTTCGTAGAAGCATTTTGGGAAAGCTTGGTGGGGTGAGATAGATAGCGTGTTTACGAATTGAAGGAAATCTAAGAAAATGGTAATCTTTTGTTACGTTATTTTTTCTCTATTTTTGAAAATTATTATACGTAAACTGTGGATGTTTATGTATGTTTATGTATGTTTACATAATGTACGTTATGTGTGTTTATGTGTACTTATGTGTATTTGTGTGTATTTATATATATGTTTATATATGTTTATGTATGTTTATGTATGTTTATGTATGTTTATGTATGTTTATGTATGTTTATATTTGGTTTTTGTAACCCTGCTACGATCATCGGTTCAACTACACGTATAAAGTAACGGAAAGGGAAGTGAAAGACGCATGTTAACATATTGCTGGACAGAGTAGCTTCTTAATTTGGCTATGAGATTTTAGTGCTTATCAATAAGATGCATATTAAGCTTTTGCACTTAATACTGCCATAGCTATGGAGAATTGACAACTTGAACCTTTTGTCCCATAAGGAACTCGAAATGTAATTTTTTTACATAGACCTATAAATTGTAAGTACTCTCGCTACTCGAGTGGCTACATTCAATTATTTAAATTATATGCCTGAGAATATTATTTTCCTATATAATTCCTATTCCTATGACTGAGAGTCGCCTCTCGATTCCATAGGATTGATTCACTTGAAAAGTTATATTATCATTATTCCAAACAAATTACATAGATATAACAAACGTCACGTTATAAAAAAAAATCTAGCAATCAAGCAAAAGTGCGTCTAAAGGTTTTTTTCTCGACTAAATTAAAAAAAAAAAAAGTACAGTTCGTTGTTTCGAAAGTTTTACTGAGAAAAATTTGGATTTTTCAGAATCGCGAGAAGGCGCAGAAAAATACCCATCGACATATTTGATTCGCGTGTTTCGGCGGTTCATAATCGACCGTAATTTCGCGTTTAATGCGTGTAATCCTTTCGCCGCCTTCCGCCACCGTGGACTATCAATACACATTTGCGCATTAACGCTGCCTCAGAATATCTCTCGTGCGTTATAGGCTTTCAACTCGATACCCGTTAACGTCTGCGTTCGCCTATGGGATATTAATAGTTTCGTTCGCACCGCGACCACCGTCTATAATGATTACGATTTATCTTCCGTTGGTTTCGCGAGCCCTATTTACGGATTCTGAGTCACCGATGGCCGTGTCCGTCCGTCCATTGTGTGCTTGATTCCGAGGGTGAATTTCTCTGCGCGATTAGGAATCTCGATCCACGACTGGGTTAACGAGAAACGAATTGCGACGATGTTTTACACCCTTGGCTAAAATGGAGAACTAAAATTGTAGCCAGAGAGTGCGAGGGTATTCGAAGATATAAAGGCGAGCACAAATCCAGACGTAATTTTCCGATGAGTAATTAATTTTCCTTGAATATGGTCAGGGAACCGTGGAAGCCTAATGGAAAATCTAGAGCGCATAATGGCACGATTAACCATGACGCAGGGTCCTTAATCACGTTTTCATTCCTTTAACACGTCATGTACAGCTACATAAATAGAAAAAAGGTATTAGCACGGTCGAGGTTCCTTTTTTTCTAATGAATCTATTTCAGCAAGATGAACGATACACAAACAGCAAGAATGCATTACAATAGTACCCCGTATAACGCGAATTGAAAATTAGGATAATGTCCTCGTATGACGCTAATGAAAAATTAATACAGTTTGTTTCACAAGAGCATTAGAACGATATTTTGAAAAAATAATTGATACTTTAAAAAAATTCAAAAACAGGCTTACAGTATATCTGAAACATTAGATCGCAATTACCTAATATAATGCATAATCCCCTTAATTTTCAAGTTTAGCCTCTATGCTTTTGTCAAGTTTTCCGCGTACCCCTCAGGCAATGTCCACTATATTTGTTTAATTTGGAGGTATAGTTGTTTTAAATTGAATGTAAGTATAGGCCTTCCATGGAGCTTAAGCTTGATGATGCTCCAGACATTTTCAATCGGATTAACGTCTGATGATTGTAAAGGCCAGTTTAGTGCTTGGATACCATTTTCCATTTTCCACGAAGTTCACATCCGACTCCGGTGTTTTGGATCATTGACTTCTCGTAACACCCAAGATGAATGATCTCCACCAAACCACTCTCTAGTAGATTTCAATAAACCTTTTCATTTGAAAAACGTTTAGGAAAGTTCTTTTCATCTATTAAAATCTAATTTTGTTATTTCTATATTTTGTATATACACATACTACATATTAATTCCTAGTTTCGTATAACACAACAATTTCCAGTAACCCAGCCACCACGTTACCTCTATCTCAAAATTCATACCGAGCACAAATTCAAACGATTCTACATCCCGCCAACCAAAATCTCATTCCCAGCCCCAAAAAATCCTACGAACGGGATTCCACCATCGGATCACCTCGAAATCATTAACAAAATCCCATCTGACTATCCCGAAACCAGAGCTTCGCAACTAAAGCGTCGCGTTGGCATTCGCCAACGGCGTCTCCCAACCAGAAGCTTGGAACACGCGGGTCGAAAATTGGTCGTTTTCACAGTCGGCTCCGCGTGATCCATTCAGGTAGATCGTCCCGGCATAACGCGGGTTCTTGAATAGAGGATACACCGCTGGCCGACACTAATTCTCCCGTAATTCGTCGAAACTGAAAAATCCAGGGGGTGAATCGTGATTCAGCGTCGCGTGTCCATGGGCTGAAAGACACGACCGCAATTAGTGGACCATCAAAAGGCCTTAGCAGACCTGCGTGGAGGAGTTAGGGGAAGGGGAAAGGGGGCTGTTTGCGGAAACGTCCGTGGCGATGAAGAAGGAAGACAACCACCTGGATGAACGAAATATAGACAGAGATAGAGGGAGGAAGAGAGTTGGTGGGGGTTGGTAGTAGCGTGTCGCGATGAATACGCGGTTCACGCACCAAATACCGTGTGGGCCGCTTCAGCGAGCTCCGGTGGAAAGTTGTGCCCGCAAAGTCTGTCGCTGGGATAACCCCGGATAATAAATAAAATGGTGCCAGGAAAAGGGAGTGTGCTCCCTCGGCTACAGGGAGAGGTGGAAGGGGTGGTGACGAGGTGGGGGACGACGAAGAAGGCACGACTCGCTGACTCGAGAGGGTGAAAAGTCGAGGGTGGAAAAAAGAAGCGGCTGGAGGAGGGTGGGACAGGGAAAATGACTCTCTTAAGGTAACGAGTCACTTCGCCGCAGCGAATATCCGTGCCAGGTTTCTCGGAAGGGCGAGTTTATCTCGTCACTGGGACTCGATATTGTTGGATACCGAGGGTTGGATGAATGAAAAGAGAATGGAACGTGGCGATTAAGTTTTTAATGCGCACACGGTGTCCGGGGGTTTTGTGGGGAGTGAAAGGACGATTTTGTAGGCAGGGATTGAATAGTGACATGTGCTTTTGGAGGTTTCGGTATTATGGCAGGCTTCTTTTTGAGGGTAGGTACTATTACTTAACTCATTATTGACCGATTGCTATTTAATAGGTTCGGTAACGTTTAAATTACATTGATGGAAAATAGCTAAAACTCTAATAGAATAACCTAATAATTTCAGTGGATTTTTTATATGACCTGGAAAAAATTGCCGTCTACATAAAGTATGAGATAGACTATGTTACATAAATATAAATGGTAAAAAATAAAATAGAACTTATCAAGTGAGGGTTAATGAAATTTAATGAATTTGTTAAATATTTTATAGTAGACATACAATACCTTGGAACACCAAATATGGACATACTAGTCCTTACATTCGTATAGCACAATTTTCAGGTTCCTAACCACCGCGACACGCAGTATTTACCTGTACCAAATTCAAACTAGAATAAACACCTCCGTAAGCCCCCGTCGAACCTTAACACAAGAAACAAGCAAGCTTTTGAAGCCAATAGAACACACTTTAAAAGGAGAATCACTCGGTGCCAGAGAACACATACCACCCAAGAAATGTTCGAAAATCGTGAACGAAGAGATTCTCTCGGACCGATCCGCCCATAAACAATGAAATATTGATCAAAGTTCCCTGGGATCCTCGCGGATACAGGGAATATCCAGCAGCATCATCCCCCGGTTAAAGTGGACGGCAATCTGCACCAGGATTTCAGCCGAGATTCTGCTCGTCGGACGTGGAACAAAAACAGGGAGAAATCATAACACCGGCGAGATGGCCGTAAACACGTCCGAGGAATTCCCAGGGAAAACAGTGGAGCACACCAAAGGGGGTGGTTGAACGCGTGGAAAGAATCGGAGCGCGGGAGCCTAGATGTGTCGATACTCCCTGAGGGTTCGTCGTTCAAAGTGCCCGGTCTCTGTCCTTCGTGTTAACACGTTTGCGCCCGATTTTTTGGTCTGCAAACCATGTCTCTGTGTGTCTGACAAGAAACGTGAGGTTGAAGTGAATCGAAGAGACATCAAGAGGAAACATTTCTGTGATTGGATATCGCGACTTGGCTACGCTAGGCTGAAGAACTCTGCTACTAGAGTAGACTCGCGATAATTACCCGCTTTTGGGATTCTAGTAGAGAATACAATTTTGGTATCCAGTGATCCCGGCTGTTTTTTGGATTCCAATAATCCTGAGATTTGATATAACGAATTCTAGGAATTTCGGGATTTTTAAAAAAAATGTGAATTACTTTCTAAACAGATAAAAAATATATTATTATTATGAAATGACTATGTTTATTCATTCCATTTATTTTTATATTTCTTACTTGTTTATAAAGTAATT